TAATGGTTATGAGAGGCATGGGATTGAGATCATTTGATCTTTTAATTCACCTAACAGCAATAGAATCCACGCCTAACAAGGTGATGTTTCATAAAGGGAAAGGCTAATCTAATCGCATCTATTACTCTATAGCTTTATGCTTAATCTTTTCGTTTACAACTATAATTTTACTATAAGTATGTTTCGCTTGGCTAATGACTGCTGAAATGTGTTAGTGTGGCAATGTTATTATGTTTTGTTTAAAAGCAACAACGTATTGATATAAATGAAAAAAATTCAATTTTTTTTGTATAACTTTTTAAATCTAAATATTGTGAATAAAAAAATAAATATTAAAAGAATTTTTCTTTTACGAAAAATGATATAAATTAATTTTAAATTAATCAAATTCAATATAATTTTTGAATATTAATAAATTTTATAAAAAAAAATGTTTTGATCAATAATCAAATGCTAATGAATTGCCTTTTTATTTTTGGTTTATTTTTGGTTTACAGGACAGGGTGGAGGAAGGCCAAATTGAGTTTGAACCCTTAACCCAACACTACCATCTCAAGGATGTAGGTGGACTTTGCCACTATATTGTCCAATGCTAAACTTTCCTATGATAATCAATGATTTTTTAATAGAGTTTTATGTTTTATGATCTTAATTATAAAACAAAATTGATTAAATAAAAGTAAAATCTTTATTATCAAGTTCACCATTCAATAGTAAGTATTGCACGGTAAGTATATAGTATTTTTTCTTTTGTAATCACTAATTACTTCCATGTTTTTACAAATAGATCAATATTATAAATCTACACATACACAATGTATGTATAAACTCAAACAAATTAAAAAAAAAAAAAAAGACAAATATAATCAGGAGATTCGTGGTAAATTAGGAACTATTAATTTCCCTTAACCCGAACAAACTTTTTTACTAATAAAACTAACCCTTTGAGATATATGATAAATAATTGGGCTCTTGACTTATGATTATTGGTGGTGGAAAGTAATTAATTTTTTGATATCATTATGTTAAGTACCTTGTTAATCTTTTGTTTTTTCCTTGGATTTCAGCTTGGCATCTCTAGAATTCGGTAAAAAAGTGAAATAAAAGTGAGAGGGAGCAGCGTCTCAAGTCTTAAAAGTTGATTCCAGATATCATTACCCGGTGAAAAGCAGAGGTGCCAAGGCATAAGCATACCAAGAAAACCGCAACAAGAAGACAAAATTTTGTTTATAGAAAAAGTAGAACTAGAAACCAAACCAATTGAGAAGAAGATATTTCAAATTTTCAACCCAACCTCGTCCCGTACATTTTAATGGGTTTTGAGGGCAGAAATCGAAATGTTCTCAGTCATCGACACAAAAAAGAAATTAAAAAAAACCACTCAAGTCATGATTTGAGGCAGAGGGTTTGGTATGCTCACGAGGGATTGGAGTCTCCATAAGTGTCAAAACACAAAACATGATCCATCCCCGGTTTTGTTTAAAAGTGCTTTACACTACTTTTTTCTGCCCTACCATATTTAAAAGTTTTAATTTATTATAAATAATTAATTTTAATTAATATTTATATATTTTTTATATAAAAATTAAAAAAAAAAAAAACTATTACCACAATATAATTCAATACAACACAACACTTGTAAATGAAGTTTAATTAAAACTCATTAACATATAACAATATAAAGCATTTTTTTTCTTTTTATAAAACAAGACAAATAGTCCAAACTTATGGGGGAAGGAGGTGGGGGAGGAAAGTTACATAAATTCGAACCTCACCATTTTGTACCTATATATATTTGAAGCACTTAAGTACCTACATATTAATGTTTTGTTGGCCAACTCTTAATAATATTATTTGAAACTGTTATCAATGTTTTGTACTTTCTACTTTGAAAAATCCTAGTCGGTTTTTATTAACTAAAAATATTTGTTACAAATTTATTGTCCTTCCACATTTACTACTTTACAATAAGGAGGGGTGGGGGGTGTCAACTGTCAAGCATCCAAATTGAAGTTATGGAAAAGCAGACAACTGCTGGCATAGGGTTAATTAAATTGCAACCGTCCACTTTTACTTGCATTCACATGGACTGGACAAGGTGGTGTGGTACTATTGCTCATGCTGCTGGCAATTACCAGCAAACTGTAATCGGTGGCAGTCCACGGGTCAGGTCGTTGCTCGTTTGCTTAAATAAGAGGGGCGCAATCTTGCATCTTGATGCCCATTTGCTATATCTTCCTCATTAAAGCAAAACATTTGATCAATTATAATCAACAAAAATCATCATCAGAAGTGATTGTGATTTAATTAGGCGTTAATGTTATATAATACGTTGATAATGATATAGTTATTATAAGGTCATACAATTTAATGTAAAATTATAAATTTATCACATTATTATAGATTCATGTAATATTATGAAGCTATTTCTTAATAAAAAGAGTCCATTATGTAATAACATAAGAGTAGTGACTATCAATTTTGATTTGTTTAAAAAATTAGAATCTCAACTTCTCATATATATTTTAAAAAACCAAACATTAGATTTAGTTTTCTAATAATGTAAATCATGTATGAAAAATTTTAAATTAATTGAATATATATATATAACTAGTTTATTTATTGTAGAGAATTTATTACTATTAAATATATATTAAAAATATAAGTTTTTAATAAAATAATTACACATGTTTAATCAACTTAAAAATTGATATGCAAAATTTATATAAATAAAGTATTAAATCAAAGGATTAATTTTTAAAAATACTCAATGAAGAGTGCTATTTTTGAAATCATGACTCAATTTTTTTTTATCAAAATTAGAATTGATATTCTCTATTAATATATTATGATAATAAATTCAAAAAAAATGTTTGTAATGACTACACTGCATTACATTAACTATTAAGTGAGAAATAGAACCCTTAACATGAGAATTTTTTTCTACCTAATAAATTTTATTTTATAATTTAATATAATTTAAACTATAAAATTGAATTTCGTAATAAATTTATTATTTCATACATCCATACACAAAATAAATATACCCTCTGATCTTTGCTAATTAACGGTCACTTCGGCAGGCTTAGCTCGTAATTACGATTTAAATTCCTAAACTTTAGTCTTAAACCCAAATATCAGTGCTCTTTATGACACTAATATTCCCCATAACAAAATGAATGATGGTACGGTTTTTCATCGTCCGAGATTTCGGGGGAAATTTTTTAATGAATTGACTTGGTCTAATTTGGGTTGCTAGTAGTAAAATGAGAAAAGAATCATGTGAGGGTGAATCCTCGAATCTCGTTCTTTGATGAAGAAAATGTGATTATCTTAATCATTTGGTCGGTAAAGATGGAGAATTTGTCTGCCAATATGGCAATAACCTCATTCTCGTACTGCAAGGCCAGCACTGGAGTAGTGTAAGAAGAAAGTCCATTTTGGGAGATTACAAGCAAAAGCAAAAATCAATGCACATTTGCAGCATTTGGACATGGAAGTTGCTTAAACCATACCCTTCTA